TAGAAGTAAAATATAAGATAAAAGATCGCAAAGGATTGGGGGAAGGGAGTAATTGGAAATATACTGTTAAGAGTCTCACACTGTTCATGAAGTAGTACATTTTTTGCTTGAAGACAGACTATCAAAAACAAAAAGAGAAAATAAAAATAAAAGACTGTGATACTTGAAAGATGCATATTGTAATCTTAGAGTAGTGCTTGGCCAATAGAAATGTAATGTAACCAGGTATATAATTAAAAATGTTCAAATATCTACCATTTAAAAACGAAAACGAAGTAGAATTAATTTAATATTTCAACCTCATATATCAAAAATATTATCATTTCAACATGTAATCTGCATGTAAACAATGATTAATAGTTTACATTCTTCAAAATCTGGTGTGTAGTCTCTGTCTCAAAAAAAAAAAAATCTGGTGCGTAGTTATATTCACAACCCATCTCATTCTGGACTAGCAACATTTCAAGTACTCAATAGCCATGTGGTTAATGGCTACCGTCTTGGACAGTATAATTCCACAGCAAGGGTCAACTTTTCTCTAAAGGGTCACAGAGTAAACATTTTGAGTTTTGGGGGCCATAGGTCTCTGTCATAACTACCCAACTTTGCCACTGTAACTCAAAAGCAGCCACAGGCAATATGTAAATGAATGGGTGGCTGGGCACAGTGGCTTGTGCCTGTAAGCCCAGCACTTTGAGAGGCGGAGGTGGGAGCATCACTAGAACCAAGGAGTTCAAGACCAGTCCAGGTAACATAGCGAGACCCCATCTCTATGAAAAAATTATTTAAATAAAACAAAATAAAAATAAATGAATGGGCAAGGCTGTGTTCCAACAGAACCTTATAAAAACATGTGAGCCACATGGGCCAGATTTGGTTTGAGAGCTGTAGTTTACCAACCACCAATCTGGAACAATGACTTAAAAAAAAAAACAAAGCGGTATAAGCAAAAAGTCAATAGAGAAGATAAAACGGGATGATAAAATATCAGCAAATACTAAATAATACATAATTCAACCAAAAGGCAGTAGAATAAGAGGAACAGAGGGACACAGAAGAAACAGGACAAACAGGAAACAAACCACAAGATGGGAGGCAGATCTGTCCTCAACATTGGTTCAATATAAATGGCAGAGATTGCCAGGAGCAAGAGCCAGCTATATGCAATTTATAAGAAACACACTTTCATTATAAAGATAAACCAGTTACCAGTAAAGACTGAACAAAAATATACGACGCAAACACTAAGTATAAGAAAATAGGCAAGGTGTGGTGGCTCATACCTGTAATCCCAGCACTTTGGGAGGTCAAAGCAGGTGGATCATTTGAGGTCAGAAGTTCGAGACCAGCCTGGCCAACACAGCGAAACCCGGTCTCTACTAAAAATGCAAAAAATTAGCTGGGTGTGATGGCACATGCCTGTAATCCCAGCTACTCGGCGGGCTGAGGCAGGAGAATCTCCCGAACCAGGGAGTTGGAGGTTGCAGTGAGCCGAGATTCCACCACTACACTCCAACCTGGCAACAGAGCAAGACTTTGTCTAAACAAACAAACAAACAAACAAAAATAATAATAATAACTATTATAATAGTTATTATTATTATGAGATCAACATAACCCTGATACCAAAACTTGACAAAAATAGAAAATTACAGGCTGGGCGCAGTGGCTCACACCTGTAATCCCAGCACTTTGGGAGGCCAAGGCGGGTGGATCACGAGGTCAGGAGTTCGAGACCGTCCTGGCCAACATGGTGAAACTTCGTCTCTACTAAAAATACAAAAAAATTTAGCTGGGCATGGTGGTGTGTGCCTGTAATCCCAGTTACTCGGGAGGCTGAGGCAGGAAAATCACTTGAACCAGGGAGTCGGAGGTTGCAGTGAGCCGAGATTGCGCCACTGCACACTCCAGCCTGACGACAGAGCGAGACTCCATCTCAAAAAAAGAAAAGAAAAGAAAAGAAAAGAAAATTACAGTTTAATATTCCTCATGAACAGAGATGCAAAAAATATTTAACACAATATCAGCAATCAAATCCAATAACATATTAAAAGGATAACACTTTACAGCCAAGTGGGATTTCTTTCAGGCATATAAATCTGATTAAACATTCAAGTATCAATTAGTATAATTCAAAATATTAACAAAATAAAGGATGGCCAGGTGCACAGCTACCTAATACCAGCACTCTGGGAGGTGGGAGGATCTCTTGAGGCCAAAGGGTCCAAAACCAGTCTGAGTAACATAGTGAGACTCTTGTCTCTACAAAAATAAAAAAATTAGCCAAGTGTGGTGGTGCACACCCGTAGTTCCAGCTACTCAGGAGGCTGAGGTGGGATGATCCCTTGAGCCCAGGAGTTCAAGGCTGCCGTGAGCTATGATTATACCACAGCACTCTAGCCTGGGCAACAGACCCTGTCTCAGAAATATTAAAAATAAATAAATAAAAGACAAAACCCATAAGATAATTTTTAAAGATACAGAAAGAGCACCTGAAAAGATTCAATATCCACTTGTGATGTTGAATGATTTCTTAACGTACTAGAAATGGAAAGCAACTTCCTCAATCTGAAAAAGAATGTGTATGAACAACCTAAAATCTTACTTAATGGGGAAACATTGAACTTCTCCTCCCTAATACTGGAAACAAGGCAGTGATATCCACTCTCTCTATTTCTATTTAACCATATGCTAAAGGTGCTACTCAGTGCAATAAGGCAAGAAAAATAAATAAAAGACATAAAGACTAGAAAAGATGTAAAACTTGTGAACAGCATACAACGTAATTGTGCACATAGAAAACCTTATGGAATATTTTTAAAAATCCTATTAGAACAAATAACTGAATTTAAAAAGGTTGCAAGACATGAAGTCAATATATAACAATGAATTATATTTCTTTTTTTTTTGAGATGAAGTCTTGCTCTTGTCCCCCAAGCTGGAGTGCAATGGCGCTATCTTGGCTCACTGCAACCTCCACCTCCCAGGTTCAAGTGATTCTCCTGCCCTCAGCCTCCCGAGTAGCTGGGATTATAGTCACCTGCCACCACAGCTGGCTAATTCTTTTATTTTAAGTAGAGACAGTGTTTGGCCAGGCTGGTCTTGAATTCCTGACCTCAGCGGATCCATCCGCCTCGGCCTCCCAAAGTTTTGGGATTACAGGTGTGAGCCACTGTGCCCAGCAACAATGAATTATATTTCTATACAAAAGCAGCAAACAGTTTGAAAATGACATTTAAGAAACAATTCCAGGCCAGGCCAGGCCTGGTGGCTCACACCTATAATACTAACGCTTTAAGAGGTCAAGGCGGGAGGTTCACTTGAACCCAGGAGTTCAAGATCAGCTTGGGAAACACAGTGAGACTCTGTCTCTACAAAAAAAAATTTTTAAATTAGCCAGGAGTGGTGGCAAGTAGCTGTAGTCCCCAGCTATTTGGGTGGCTGAGTGAGTCAAACCAATAAAGGAAGAAAACTCTTTTAAACAAATTGTTAAAATGTTGTTGGAACAACCAGACAGTCATATGGGAAAAAATAAACCCTGATCTCCATATCTCACTCCACATACACGATTAATTTGAAATGGGTCATGACTTAAATGTAAAAGGTAAAATTACAAACCTTCTACCAAAAAAACAAAAAGAAGAGACAATCACTGCAACCTTAGGGTAGGCAAATATTTTGGGAGGGGGGTAGAATCCACTAACAATAAAAGGAAAAACTTAATAAACAGGACTTTATGAAAATAAAAGATATCTGGCTGGGTGTGGTGGTTCACACCTGTAATTCCAGCACTTTGGGAGGCCGAGGCTGCCGGATCACTTGAGGCCAGGAGTTCAAGACCAGCCTGGGCAACATGGTGAAACCCTGTTTCTACTAAAAATACAAAAATTACCCAGGTGTGGTGGCGCACATCTGTAATCTACTCCGGAAGTGGAGGCACGAGAATCACTTGAGCCTGACAGGCAGAGGTGGCAGTGAGCTGAGATTGCACCACTGTACTACAGCCTAGACAACAAAGCAAGACTGTCTCAAAAGGAAAGAAGAACAAATCAGAAATATGTGCTCATTTAAAAACATCACAAAGAAATGAATAGGTAAACCACAGAATCAAAAAAATACACATGCAGCACAAACATCTGACAAAGGCTATGTATCTGGACTATATACAAGAACTATAAGTTAATAGCAAAAAGACAACTCAATTTTAAAAAGGGCAAGAGACTTAAAAAGCCACCTCAGTGGTCAACAAGAACATTAAATGGTAGTCAATATCATTAGCATGAGAGAAATGCAAATTAAAACCACAATGCAATACTGTTTCATTCCCTCTAAGATGACTAAAGTTAAAAGATTGACAGTCAGGTGCAGTGGCTCACACCTGTAATCCCAACACTTTGGGAGGCCGAGGCAGGTGGATCACTTGAGGTTAGGAGTTCGAGACCAGCCTGGCCAAAGTGGCAAAACACCATCTCTACTAAAAATACAAAAATTAGCTGGGTGAGGTGGTGCGCATCTGTAGTCGCAGCTTCTCGGGAAGCAGAGGCCTGTGAATCGCTTGATCCCAGGAAGGAGGTTGCAGTGAGCCAAGATCGCGCTACTGCACTCCAGCCTGGGAAAAAGAGCAAGACCTGTCTCAAAAAATAAATAAATAAACAAATAAATAAATAAAATTATAAAAGATTAACAGCATGAAATGCTGACAAGGATGTGGAGTAAATAAAATTCACACAATAAAATGGCATATCAAACTCATACTATAAAATGCTATATCCACTTTGGAGAGCTGTTTCTTTGCTCTTAATAAAGTTTAACACATACTTATCCTAAAAATCAATAATTCAGGCCGGGCGCGGTGGCTCAAGCCTGTAATCCCAGCACTTTGGGAGGCCGAGGCAGGCGGATCACGAGGTCAGGAGATCAAGACCATCCTGGCCAACACGGTGAAACCCCGTCTCTACTAAAAATACAAAAAAAT